CACTAATGATGGGACACTATTCCTCACACACTGACACTAATGATGGGGCACCATCATTGGTGTCAATGGGAGGAATAGTGCCCCATCATTGGTGTCAATGGGAGGAATAGTGCCCCATCATTGGTGTCAGTGGGAGGAATAGTGCCCCATCATTGGTGTCCGAGTGAGGAAGCGTGCCCCATCATTGGAATACCATACCATATTGAAATCAAATCTGATGTTTTTTAATTTTTGGTGTGCGCTGGAAGAGGGGTAGTCTTATACGCGGCGAGTATAGCCCAAACCCTATATTTTAACAGGAAAAGTAGGGGGTCGTCTTATACGCCCAGTCGTCTTATACGCCGGCAAATACGGTATATATGTTTTATCTATATTAATTGGTTTTAACAATTAATACATATTGGTAAATTTTATGCACATTATGTTTTCAACATTATAAATAATTAGTTTGAGTCCATTATATTACAACGTCTGTATGCTATAGAAGAAGTTAGATAACTAAGAAATCTCAGTACAAATGACCTCAACGAATGTCTGCAAGATGTATAAGTTTAATTTTTTTTTCTTTCTCCAGAATCACTTAGGTAATTTTTTATTATTATTATTCAGGATTTATATAGCGCCAACAGTTTGCGCAGCACTTTACAAAATGAAGATAGACATTACAGTTACAATACAATTTGGTACAAGAGGAAACAGAGGGCCCTGCTTGTTACAGCTTACAATTATTTTAAAGTGACACTGGTCCCAGTTCTCTCAAAAGAGTGTCGACATTTAAAATGTATTGTATTTTTACAAGCTGAAGGTTAGAGGTCAACTCTTGACATGGTACAGAAGGTGTTAGAAAAAAAATCCAAAATTATTCCTAATCCTATACTGCCCCCTTCAAATAATTGGATCATTTAGTGTAGAACCTGACACCATGAGTGTCGTCATAATTAAGTGAGATAAACTGTGCCCACCTAGGTTTGGGTGATAAAAGTTAGAGGACGGTCAGAGACGGGACACAAGAGAGGAGACAAGAAAACAACAGCTGACATCACTGAAACCATAAAATCTATAGTGGTAATGAAAATTCTAAATTCAGAGAGGAGCTCAAAGGCATCTACATCCCAATTTGGCAACATAATGCAAGAGAAGGGAGGAGGGGATAAAAAGGAAGATAGAGATGAGGAGAATGAACTCACTGGAAAAAAAGTAAACTGGACTTTAAAGGTGCCAACAATAATGAGAAAAGTGTAACTAAAAATATAACATTTATTTCAATCATTTAAAATTAAAAAAAATAAAAAATACACATTAAAGTATGCAAACTTGGTGATAATACTTATTCAGTAATCTACATCCGGTGCATTATTTCTCAACATGTTTTGAAATTTTAAGGCTTCTTCGGGAGATATTAAATATAGCACCTAGAACAACAAATCATGCCGATTACAAAATATAAGAATACCCATCTTAACAAATCAGATAACCAGAATATGTAAATTAATACCAAATACATATTATTATATATATCATAGACATATCTCAAAAAATCGGTGAAGGGCAACTTACCAGCAATTGCATAACTGGCTCAATTGTACATATTATCTGTAGGCCAATTGGTAATTAGTTTAAAGGAACAAAAAGTTCTTAGATCAGCCTGGACATAAAGACAGCTCAAATGGTTGGTGAGGAAACCCATAGGCTAACTGAAAAAATATACAGAGAAGGAAAATCAACTGCCACCCAATATTCTAGGTTTGGTTAACAGCTTAAAGCAGAAAAAAACCTTATTGTTTATATACCTTTTAAGATGGAGATTAGAGATGAGCGAAGTATTCAAAAATTCGATTCGGCTGATTCGGCGAATTCGCGGAATAAATTCGATTCGAATCGAATATATTTGCTGCGAATTTAACTTATAAAAGGGTGTTTCTAGGCTTCAGAGAGCCTTTATATTAGTGCAGAACACTGTACCTTTAATTTAAATGCCCTTGGAGTCTGCTGGGGAAGAGAAATAATACTGTCAGTCAGTATGACATGCAGATGAGTGCCGTCGATCTTAGAATCACCGCACACTTCACTCATTTGGGCAGTCACGGGGCCAAAACCAGAGTGTGGAGCCACAATGTGGCGGTGGAGGCAGCAGCAATGGGAGGCCATACAGCACCCTATGACAAAATGGAACCCACCAGCAGTGTGAGGAGACCTGAAAGTGGCACATGGCAGAGTGTGGCGATGGAGACAGCAGCAATGGGAGGCCGTACAGGGACCCATGAGACACTCTGGACCTGGCAGCAGCATGAGGAGGCGGTACGGGGGCCCATGGCAGATTACAGGGCTGGCAGCAGCATGAGGAGTCGGTACGGGGGCCCATGGCAGATTACGGGCCTGGCAGCAGCAATGGGAGGCCCGTAATCTGCCAGCACCCTATGACAAAATGGAACCCACCAGCAGTGTGAGGAGACCTGAAAGTGGCACATGGCAGAGTGTGGCGATGGAGACAGCAGCAATGGGGGGCCGTACAGGGACCCATGAGACACTCTGGACCTGGCAGCAGCATGAGAGGAGGCGGTACGGGGGCCCATGGCAGATTACGGGCCTGGCAGCAGCAATGGGAGGCCCGTAATCTGCCAGCACCCTATGACAAAATGGAACCCACCAGCAGTGTGAGGAGACCTGAAAGTGGCACATGGCAGAGTGTGGCGATGGAGACAGCAGCAATGGGAGGCCGTACAGGGACCCATGAGACACTTGCAGACCTGGCAGCAGCAAGAGGAGGCGGTACAGGGGCCCATGGCAGAGTGGCGAAGCGTAAGCAGCTTAAATTGAAGGCCATACAGAGGCCTATGTTAAAAATAATAACATGTTTGGGGCATGATTCATGGCGGATTTAGTCAGTTGTGTCAGGAACTGGTGGTTTGAAATCCAGACTAATCCACGCCTGATTCATTTTCACAAACGTGAGTCTCTCCACACTTTGGGTGGACAGTCGTGTCCTCCGGAGTTACAATACCTCCTGCCGCACTAAACACGCGCTCCGATGCCACGCTACTGGCCGGGCATGACAGCCTTTCAAGGGCAAATTCAGCTAGTTGGGGCCAAAGGTCAAGTTTCGTTGCCCAGTAGTCAAGGGGATTGTCTACCTCGGTTGGCAGGGTGCTGTCCAAGTAGGCCCAAGCCTGTTGTTGTTTGAGGTCCTGCTCCAGGTCCACCTGATGCTGCTGCTGCTGCGGCGGCTGGTTAGTAGTTTCCTCACTGCGCTGGTGAAGAAAGCTACTCATCATCGACTGCAGACTGAGGCAGCCGCTGCTGGTGGAGCTGCCACTGCTCCTACCACCCCACCCCTCCCCTGCTGCCATGGCAGCGGAGCGGAACGCGAGCGCACAGGGCCCACAGTGTCTGAGGATGGACGTTGGCGCAGAAAGGCAGAGACCAACTGACTACATAGGTGGTTTTTATAGTACGTTATTTTGGCCTCCCTCTCAGCAGGTGTGAAAAAGGCCACCATTTTTGAACGGTAGCGAGGGTCCAACAAGGTGGACAGCCAAAAGTCATCCCTCTGTCTGATGGTTATTATTCGGCTGTCGCTACGCAAGCAACCGAGCATGCTATGGGCCATTTGTGCCAAGGAATGCGAGGGACTCCCTGCCTCCATCTCCACAGCATACTGCCACGGTGCGTCTGGGTCCTCTGTCCTCCCTCCTCCTCCTCTACCAGATGCTCCTGCTCCTCCACTCCTGTCCGCTGAGTGGAAAAACCACCCATTTCACTCAATAATTCCTGAGCACCAATGTCCTCCTCTACCTCCTCCTCTTCTTCCTGTCCTGCCCCCACAGGGGTCATGTGGCGTTGAGATCTGTGCGCCACGTCTACCGCACCCTGACCAGCCATTGTTAACAGCATTTGTTCCAGGACGTGCAACAGAGGAATGACGTCGTTCATCCCATAGTCCTGCCGACTCACGAATAGCGTGGCCCTCCTCAAAGGCCTGAGCAAGCGGCAGGTGTCACGCATGAGCTGCCAATGGCTGACATCTAAGTTACACAGGGGAGTACCTTTATCCGCTTGTAACATCAGGAAATCGGTGATGGCCTTTCGCTGTTCGTAAAGGCGGTCTAACATATGTAGGGTTGAATTCCACCTTGTTTGCAACGTCACAGCATGAGGAGTCGGTACGGGGGCCCATGGCAGATTACGGGCCTGGCAGCAGCAATGGGAGGCCCGTAATCTGCCAGCACCCTATGACAAAATGGAACCCACCAGCAGTGTGAGGAGACCTGAAAGTGGCACATGGCAGAGTGTGGCGATGGAGACAGCAGCAATGGGAGGGGCCGTACAGGGACCCATGACACACTCTGGACCTGCAGCAGCAGCATGAGGAGGCGGTACAGGGGCCCATGACAGATTACGGGCCTGGCAGCAGCAATGGGAGGCCCGTAATCTGGGCCAGCACCCTATGACAAAATGGAACCCACCAGCAGTGTGAGGAGACCTGAAAGTGGCACATGGCAGAGTGTGGCGATGGAGACAGCAGCAATGGGAGGCCGTACAGGGACCCATGACAAATTACGGACCTGGCAGCAGCATGAGGAGGCGGTACAGGGGCCCATGGCAGATTACGGGCCTGGCAGCAGCAATGTGAGGCCCGTAATCTGCCAGCACCCTATGACAAAATGGAACCCACCAGCAGTGTGAGGAGACCTGAAAGTGGCACATGGCAGAGTGTGGCGATGGAGACAGCAGCAATGGGAGGCCGTACAGGGACCCATGACAGATTACGGGCCTGGCAGCAGCATGAGGAGGCGGTACAGGGGCCCATGGACAGATTACGGGCCTGGCAGCAGCAATGGGAGGCCCGTAATCTGCCAGCACCCTATGACAAAATGGAACCCACCAGCAGTGTGAGGAGACCTGAAAGTGGCACATGGCAGAGTGTGGCGATGGAGACAGCAGCAATGGGAGGCCGTACAGGGACCCATGACACATTCTGGACCTGGCAGCAGCATGAGGAGGCGGTACAGGGGCCCATGACAGATTACGGGCCTGGCAGCAGCAATGGGAGGCCCGTAATCTGCCAGCACCCTATGACAAAATGGAACCCACCAGCAGTGTGAGGAGACCTGAAAGTGCAGATTACGGGAGTGTGGCGATGGAGCAGCATGGGAGGCCGTACAGGGACCCATACGGGGCCTGGCAGCAGCATGATGAGGAGCGGTACAGGGGCCCATGACAGATTACGGGCCTGGCAGCAGCAATGGGAGGCCCGTAATCTGCCAGCACCCTATGACAAAATGGAACCCACCAGCAGTGTGAGGAGACCTGAAAGTGGCACATGGCAGAGTGTGTGGCGATGGAGACAGCAGCAATGGGAGGCCGTACAGGGACCCATGACAGACTTACTGGGCCTGGCAGCAGCATGAGGAGGCGGTACAGGGGCCCATGACAGATTACGGGCCTGGCAGCAGCAATGGGAGGCCCGTAATCTGCCAGCACCCTATGACAAAATGGAACCCACCAGCAGTGTGAGGAGACCTGAAAGTGGCACATGGCAGAGTGTGGCGATGGAGACAGCAGCAATGGGAGGCCGTACAGGGACCCATGACACACTCTGGACCTGGCAGCAGCATGAGGAGGCGGTGGACCTGCAGCAGCATGAGGAGGCAGTACAGGGGCCCATGACAGATTACGGGCCTGGCAGCAGCAATGGGAGGCCCGTAATCTGCCAGCACCCTATGACAAAATGGAACCCACCAGCAGTGTGAGGAGACCTGAAAGTGGCACATGGCAGAGTGTGGCGATGGGAGACAGCAGCAATGGGAGGCCGTACAGGGACCCATGAGACACTCTGGACCTGGCAGCAGCATGAGGAGGCGGTACAGGGGCCCATGACAGATTACGGGCCTGGCAGCAGCATGAGGAGTCGGTACGGGGCCCATGGCAGATTACGGGCCTGGCAGCAGCAATGGGAGGCCCGTAATCTGCCAGCACCCTATGACAAAATGGAACCCACCAGCAGTGTGAGGAGACCTGAAAGTGGCACATGGCAGAGTGTGGCGATGGAGACAGCAGCAATGGGAGGCCGTACAGGGACCCATGAGACACTCTGGACCTGGCAGCAGCATGAGGAGGAGGCGGTACGGGGGCCCATGACAGATTACGGGCCTGGCAGCAGCAATGGGAGGCCCGTAATCTGCCAGCACCCTATGACAAAATGGAACCCACCAGCAGTGTGAGGAGACCTGAAAGTGGCACATGGCAGAGTGTGGCGATGGAGACAGCAGCAATTGGGAGGCCGTACAGGGACCCATGACACACTCTGGACCTGGCAGCAGCATGAGGAGGCGGTACAGGGCCCATGACAGATTACGGGCCTGGCAGTAGCATGAGGAGGTCGGTACCGGGGGCCCATGACAGATTACTGGCCTGGCAGCAGCAATGGGAGGCCCGAAATCTGCCAGCACCCTATGACAAAATGGAACCCACCAGCAGTGTGAGGAGACCTGAAAGTGGCACATGGCAGAGTGTGGCGATGGAGACAGCAGCAATGGGAGGCCGTACAGGGACCCATGAGACACTCTGGACCTGGCAGCAGCATGAGGAGGCGGTACAGGGGCCCATGACAGATTACGGACCTGGTCCCAGCATGAGGAGGCGGTACAGGGGCCTGTGTCCCTGGCAGATTACTGTGCCTGGGCAGATGACGACGAGGCTGCCAAGTGCGATCAGCCCATCATCATCAATTAGGGTGTCCTCCTGTAACAATTCAGTCACTAACAATTCTAGTCCCCCTAACCCTCGGCTGCGTGTGGGTCAGGAGACAGACCTGTCTCTAGACCGGCTACCGAGCCACTCTCCTCGCCAGTAATTCTTCGCCTGGCTGCTGAAGAGGATTCTGTGTCCCCCCCCGTTCCTGACCGCCCTCTGTTAGCTCTTCCTCACTGTACAGTAACAATTGAGCCCACAGCATGCGATACTTCGCTGTGAGGGAACACCAAAGGACTGGGCAGGTAGAGGACACGTGATTTCAGTGGGCTTGCTCCCGGGCCTGCCAACTAACAATTTGTGTCCCTGACGTACCCACCTGACCGTTGGCTGTAGGTGTCAGAGGTGACCTGGGAAGAGGAAGACGACCGAGCCAACCAATCAATGACGGCAGGGTGAGTGTCGGTGGAGACACGACCGCTGGATGACAATTCTGTGAGCACTGGTAACAATTCTGGCTGTCCCTGAGTAAGTGCTGCCTGTCGTCCCTGAGTAACAATTCCTCTGCTGTCCCACGTAACAATTCTCGCTCCTGAGTAACATTCTCCTCTGCCAGTAACTCCTCTGCGTGTTGTCTGACATACTCTTCCTGAGTAACGATTCTGTGTCCCTGAGTAACAATTCTGTGTCCCTGAGTAACAATTCTGTGTCCCTGAGTAACAATTCTGTGTCCCTCAGTAACAATTCTGTGTCCCTCAGTAACAATTCTGTGTCCCTGAGTAACAATTCTGTGTCCCTGAGTAACAATTCTGTGTCCCTGAGTAACAATTCTGTGTCCCTGAGTAACAATTGTCCCTGAGTAACAATTCTGTCCCTGAGTAACAATTCTGTGTCCCTGAGTAACAATTCTGTGTCCCTGAGTAACAATTCTGTGTCTGTCCCTGAGTAACAATTCTGTGTCCCTGAGTAACAATTCTGTGTGTCCCTGAGTAACAATTCTGTGTCCCTGAGTAACAATTCTGTGTCTGTCCCTGAGTAACAATTCTGTGTCCTGAGTAACAACAATTCTGAGTGTCCCTGAGTAACAATTCTGTGTCCCTCAGTAACAATTTCTGTGTCCCTCAGTAACAATTCTGTGTCCCTGAGTAACAATTCTGTGTGTCCCTCAGTAACAATTCTGTGTCCCTCAGTAACAATTCTGTGTGTCCCTCAGTAACAATTCTGTGTCCCTGAGTAACAATTCTGTGTCCCTGAGTAACAATTCTGTGTCCCTGAGTAACAATTCTGTGTCCCTGAGTAACAATTCTGTGTCCCTCAGTAACAATTCTGTGTCCCTGAGTAACAATTCTGTGTCTGTCCCTGAGTAACAATTCTGTGTCCCTGAGTAACAATTCTGTGTCCCTGAGTAACAATTCTGTGTCCCTCAGTAACAATTCTGTGTCCCTCAGTAACAATTCTGTCCCTGTAACAATTCTGTGTCCCTCAGTAACAATTCTGTGTCCCTGAGTAACAATTCTGTGTCCCTGAGTAACAATTCTGTAACAATTCTGTGTCCCTCAGTAACAATTCTGTGTGTCCCTGAGTAACAATTCTGTGTCCCTGAGTAACAATTCTGTGTCCCTGAGTAACAATTCTGTGTCCCTGAGTAACAATTCTGTGTCCCTGAGTAACAATTCTGTGTCCCCTCAGTAACAATTCTGTGTCCCTCAGTAACAATTCTGTGTCCCTCAGTAACAATTCTGTGTCTGTCCCTGAGTAACAATTCTGTGTCCCTGAGTAACAATTCTGTGTCCCTCAGTAACAATTCTGTGTCCCTGAGTAACAATTCTGTGTGTGTCCCTGAGTAACAATTCTGTGTCCCTGAGTAACAATTCTGTGTCCCTGAGTAACAATTCTGTGTCCCTGAGTAACAATTCCCTGTGTCCCTAAGTAACGATTCTGTGGCCCTAAAGTCTCTCTGGCCCTAACTCTGTCCCTAATACAGACAGGTCTGTCTCTCTTGAATGACCGCAGGCTAATGGAGAATTGTAAGATGGCCGCAATTTATAGCTCCACCATTACACAGTGCTGGCTGGCTGGCTGCTGATTGGCTAATGCGATCACATGTCATGAATGAATGCATTATGGGTCAGCGCGCCTTGTCTGCGCGCCTTCCCAGAGATCCCCGCTCCGTCGCCACACATGTCGCCGCCATTTTTGGGAAAATTCGATTCGTGCATCCGAAGTTGGCTAATTTTCGGATTCGGCGCGAATCGAATATTTCCCAATATTCGAAACGAATTCCACTTCGCCATGTTCGATTCGCTCATCTCTAATGGAGATATATCAAGATACTACTTGATGAACACTACTTATCACCGCCATACTAGTAGCAGTACATTAGGGAAAAAAGGCCAGGGATACCAGTCCAAGTAGAACACTTAGACAAAATATAGGTAGTGAATTCGAAGCAGGGATCAGTTAAAGCCAATCAACCCACCAATAGTAGGAACAATCATGATGGAAATAGTATTAAATTGACCTCAATCCTGTAATCTGAACCAACCAAAGGGGGAGGGTGGCAGCAGTAAACCAAGGCTACATAGAAACCCAATCCTCAAAGGGAAGACACATACTAAGAAACAAGAACATCGAAAAGCATTAATTTGGATAATAGTGGAGAACTTATAGTACAATCCATCGGGCAGCTTGGGTAAATGTCTTTCAGGTCTCACCACAACATGCTCCAATGCCACAACAACACCTCCTCATCACACAGCAAACAAATCAAGTAAATTCCTTTAAATATGGGTTTTTCCTGTCAAAACTAATGTCACAACATCAGCACCTGTGTAGGACATCACTACCGTCCTCCATTACACCAATATCAGCCAGCTAATTTTGATTAGATCATTGTACTGTTATTTTGATTTGTTTATTTATCATCACCTATTATATTTAATTACCATTTTGCACTGATTTTTATTATTAATAGATACAGGTGAAACTCGAAAAATTAGAATATCGTGCAAAAGTTCATTTATTTCAGTAATGCAACTTAAAAGGTGAAACTAATATATGAGATAGACTCATTACATGCAAAGCAAGATAGTTCAAGCCGTGATTTGTCATAATTGTGATGATTATGGCTTACAGCTCATGAAAACCCCAAATCCACAATCTCAGAAAATTAGAATATTGTGAAAAGGTGCAATATTCTAGGCTCAAAGTGTCCCACTCTAATCAGCTAATGAAGCCATAACACCTGCAAAGGGTTCCTGAGCCTTTAAATGGTCTCTCAGTCTGGTTCAGTAGGAATCACAATCATGGGAAAGACTGCTGACCTGACAGTTGTGCAGAAAAACCATCATTGACACCCTCCATAAGGAGGTAAAGCCTCAAAAGGGAATTGTAAAAGAAGTTGGATGTTCCCAAAGTGCTGTATAAAAGCACATTAATAGAAAGTTATGTGGAAGGGAAAAGTGTGGAAGAAAATGGTGCACAAGCAGCAGGGATGACCGCAGCCTGGAGAGGATTGTCAGGAAAAGGCTATTCAAAAGTGTTGGGGACTTTCACAAGGAGTGGACTGAGGCTGGAGTCAGTGCATCAAGAGCCACCACACACAGACGATCCTGGGCATGGGCTTCAAAGATCGTATTCCTCTTGTCAAGCCGCTCCTGAACAACAAACAACGTCAGAAGCGTCTTACCTGGGCTACAGAAAAACAGACCTGGTCTGTTGCTCAGTGGTCCAAAGTCCTCTTTTCTGATGAGAGCAACTTTTGCATCTCATTTGGAAACCAAGGACCCAGAGTATGGAGGAAGAATGGAGAGGCACACACTGCAAGATGCTTGAAGTCCAGTGTGAAGTTTCCACAGTCCATGTTGATTTGGGGAGCCATGTCATCTGCTGGTGTTGGTCCACTGTGCTTCATTAAGTCCAGGGTCAACGCAGCCGTCTACCAGGAGATTTTGGAGCACTTCATGCTTCCTTCCACAGACAAGCTTTATGGGGATGCTGACTTCCTTTTCCAGCAGGACTTGGCACCTGCCCACACTGCCAAACGCATTAAAACCTGGTTCAATGACCGTGGGATTACTGTGCTTTATTAGCCAGCAAACTCGCCTGACCTGAACCCCATAGAGAATCTATGGGGCATTGCCAAGAGAAAGATGAGAGACATGAGACCGAACAATGCAGAAGAGC